GAGAGAGAGAGAGAGAGAGAGAGAGAGAGAGAGAGAGAGAGAGAGAGAGAGATCTCCTATTCCTGTATTGTGCAATAGGCAGATAGGCATGGATATAATTTACAAAATAAAATATGTAGCCACTTCAAATGTGTGAATATTTTGCTATTATTTAATTAGGTTGGAGTTAACAGAATTGGGTTTCTGGAGAATCAACTTTTATTGTAGTTGATGTGAAAGTCTAAAAGCCCCGAATCTAAATTTCCTATCACTCAATGATTTGTCCCTTCTAATATAGTAAAACAGAGCTATCATGGGTATCTTTTTTCACAGAGAAATTTACAGTTATATTAATGCCAATAACCTTTAAACATGTGAATTTGAGATTAGAACTAAGTAGGGATTCTTTATTCAGTGAAGACCCCTTCGATAATGAGTTTACATGTGGAAATTTATTTTTAAAGTTAATTGCATTTTCAATCATGAAATAGTGCCTGGTATCCCAATTTAAATATATAAAACAGTGGAGACTGCAAAACCAAATATGATTTAAGGATAGAGAAAAGAGAGAATTGGATTAGCTCTGCAGAATTGGTGGACAATTTTAAAATATTATCTGTCCGTTATTTCCCCTCACAGATTAATACCTTGCCCAGTTAAAACTCCATAGCAAGATAAAAGTACAATGAATACTGGGTTCTAACCTAAGATAATAATTTTGGTCATTTTTTTTAACATCAAACCAATTCTATTGCAGTTATTTAGAAGTATTTCTGGTTAGTTATTATGCATAGATATAGGTTTGCTTTCTGCTTACTTGGCAAACATTTAAAACAGAATTACTATTCTTTATATTCCATTCATTCTAAGAAAAAAGGTAAATGAATGGCTAGCATGCTAACAATAGTAGGTTTTATCTTCTCTTATAAGATAAATAAGATATAAGTGCCCCACCGGGCCTACCGTCCCTGTCCTACTGTCCCCATTTATTTGTACTAATTTTTCTTTGTTCATGTCCATGTTATCTTGTACAGGTTTGACAAACTAAATAAATAAAATAAATTATTTCTGAAAGGTTGCTATTTGGAATGGAATCTGGACATCTACTCAACTGTTAAGGGGGGGTGGGAGAATAAAGTAACCCTGGTTGAAGTTCATTCCCTGGGGAATATATCCCTAATTGTGTGATTAACGAAACCTATTAAGAGTATATAGAAATAATTGCTTAAGTTCCCAAAGGTATCTTAAGGAATTCACATGCTAAGATAGAATGCTGGCTTCTCTAATGAGGGAGAAAAGGAAAAGAAGAAAGGACTCTTTCTTTTGAAATGAACCGAAGAAAAGAAGCTTAGAATCCTGCAGACAGGGAAGTTCTAAACCAATCCAAGTAGTCCTTGACTTACAACAGTTTGTTTAGTGACCATTCAAAGTTACCACGGCACTCAACAAAGTGACTTATGATCATTTTTCACACTTAAGTCACACCTCAGTATCCCCATGATCAAAATTCAGATGCTTGGCACATGACTCCTATTTATGACACTTGCAGTGTTCCAGAGTTATGAAGTCACTTTTTGCAACCACCTGACAGGCAAAGTCAATGGAGAAACCAGATTCAGTTAACAACCGTGCTACTAATTTAAGAACTAGTGATTCACTTAACAACCGTGTTACTAATTTAAAAACTGCAGCAATTCAGTTAACAACCGTGCTACTAACTTTAACAACTGTGGTGACTCACTTAACAACTATGGCAAGAAAGATCTAAAATGGAACAAATTTCAGCAACAGAAATTTTGGGGTGATTGTGATTGTTAGTCAAGGTCTATCTGTAGCTCATGCCACAAATGCCATTCATGAGAGCTAGGTTAAAAATTATTAAATGTTAATGCTTCTGGAGCTGTATTTTTGAATAATAACTCAACTGATAAACCCATTTCTTTGTCCTACTTTCTTCTGGAACAGTAATCGCCATGACAGTATTGCATGTCACTGAGTCGTAATATAACTCCCATGATTGGATAAACTTTCAGGGAGAATAGTATCAAATGCCGCAAATTATTCTCTGCAATATATGTAGAGGAATGTATTCCATGCTTTAAAATGATTGCCTTTGTCTTTCTTAATCCTCTTCCATGAAGCTTGTCAATGTTCCCATCTTGGTAATAATTGTGACCCACATACTGGCCGTTGCATCTGCCCTCCCAATACTACAGGAAACAGATGTGAAAAATGTGTACCGAATCACTGGGGTCATGATATTATCAGTGGATGCAAGGTGAGTTTTTCTTTTCTTTCGTTTTCCCACTGTCTTAACTTTAGGAAGTTATTCCAGATAAAATTGTCTTGTATGACTATAAGTTGTGTTTTAATTAGAAATGGCCTAGTATGCACAGAAATGTCATATATGTGCATATTGTGAATCAGCTCTTATAGTCGAAAGCAAAAGAACATATAGTACCCATATATTTACACTTGGATACAATTTATCCCAACAAAGTGAACTGTTGCTAACTGAGATCTTCTTTTGTTTTAAACAAAAGGCATCACTTTGCTATGGATTATATTAATAATATTCCAAAAACTGTATTAAAGGATAACATTTTAAATTAAAAATAGTAGAGAAACTTAGAAGAGAGATCAGGTTAAAAACAAAGTTAGGTGATCAGTTGTAAGCTTCCACATATTATATAGTTTTGTATTCATCTCAAAGTATTCATATTATATAACTGAAATAGATACTAGATACTATTATATAAATAAATTGGATAATGCTGGTGTGCTATTTGTATTATATATATACTATACTGATCTTCTTAATCTTTATTAAGATTATTAAATACTTAATTTCCAAATATTGTTTACCTTACCTTATTGCTCATCAATACATTTAATGGTAGTGAATTGCACTGACAGTGTCAAATAGAGCAATAGCACTTATATACCGCTTTACAGCCCGCTTTAAATGGTTTACAGAGTCAACATATCACCCCCAACAATTTTGTGTCTTCATTTTACCCACCTCGGAAGATTGGAAGGCTGAGTCAACCTTGAGCCTGGTGAGATTTGAACAGTCAAATTGCAGGCAGCCGGCAGGCAGCAGAAGTAGCCTGCAGTACTGCACTCTAACCACTGCACCACTGTGGCTCAAGGTTATAAAGAAGCTATTGTTTATATTTCTCTAGCCCCAATCTGGGTATGGTTCCTTTTTGCTATAGGGTTTATAAGCATCTTGTGCACTCTTATTTATTTTTACATCCTTGGTATTTCAATCTGAATTAGTTTCTCGAGAATACATTGAAAAATAAAGTTTGTAATAAGCTAAACAAGCTGTGCAAATAATGATCACTAGCAACCAAAAGAGGGTTAAGTTAGTTTACAGTTGCACTAAGTTGTTTAAGAATATGTGTCCTGAATGCAAGAAATCATATCTATTTCTATGGTTGTTAATCCAGTTAATTAATGAGATAAATTTATTTTCTTTGGGGATTGTAAGGCTCCTCTTACAAAGCCTCTGTTTTTCTCCAGCATACCAATCACCAGTCTTCTGCAAAGTGGTTTAATGAGGGTGAAGACCCCTCTTTCAGTTCTGGGCTCTCTCATATCCCTCCTTGCCTTGTCTATTATCTGAGTGCATTAGTATGGCAGCTGCTATGGCACTCTCTAAATTAATAATGATCTGTCAGCCAAGTCTCCCTTTTTAACGTATTTCAACTCATTTCTCCAAAGCCAGGTGCAAGTGCCCCCTTCTCTGTTTGAGCTTTTAGCGGAGGCAATTTCAGAGTCTCTCATAACTTACAGGCAAAGGAATATTGCATGAAGCTGACTCCTTGCAAAACAAGTCTTAAAGCTGACTGTAATTTACTCTGCATATAGTGAACAATTTGCTCACAAGAGGTTATATCTGGTATTTCTCAATGTGTAGGCTCTCCTGCTTTGTAGAATGCATAACTAGTGATTCTTAATTGCTCGTCACCCTGGATCTATTCAAGCCCATATTTGGGCTACCCTAAAAATGAAACAATACAGGTACGCCTCGACTTACGACAGTTCATTTAGCGAGTATTCAAAATTACAACATTGCTGAAAAAAAGTGACATGCTCAGTTTTTACACTTAGCATCCCATGGTGATTTAATCAAAATTCAGATGCTTGGCAACTGACTCACATTTATAATGGTTGCAGTGTCCTCGGATCCCCTTTTGCAACCTTCTGACAATCAAAATCAGTGGGGAATCCAGATTCATTTAATAACCCTGGTTACTAATTTAATACTTTCAGTGATTCACTTAACAATGGTGTCAAGACAAGTTGTAAAATGGAGCAAACTATGCTTAACAAATATTTCACTTAGGAACAGAAATTTTGGGCACAATTGTGGTCAAGGACTACCCTTAGGGCTCCTTCAAAACTTCTGATAGAAAGAGAATATTGATAGCATGAAAGGGATATTGATAACATGATGGGGATATTGATTTGGGGATTCCCCCCCCCCTAAAAAAACCCACAAAGGCTGCACTTCTTCAGCTTCAGCAAGGTCCCCATGCTTGTTCTTCTCCTAGCTTTGCCTAAAAAATATTCTGCTCTGATTTAATATTCTGCGCTCACAGGGCAATACAGGACTATAATGTGTACATAATGTTAAGTCTATGCAGGACTTCGAATTCAGTTTGCACAATATAGCTTATAGAAACATGAATGGGCATATTATCTTTTTCATGGATATCTGTTAGCCTGGATTGTACTAATGTTTTGATATTTTTATCGTTTATACATATAGTGATATAAATATTTATATTCTAATTTATAAATCTATCTTCAACTACAATTGAATAATTTGCCTGTTTAAAACTCGAATTAATCCATGGGAACATTTTAAGTTAATTTGAAACTTGCCCCATATTTAGTCTTGCAGACGTGTTTCAGTTCTACTCATTTGTGCTCCCCACTGATGTGAAAAGGATCTTTACTATAGATCCATGAGGGCGAACCTATGGCACGCATGCCACAGGTGGCACGTGGAACCATATTAGCCGGCACAGCAGTCCTCATCTCTGGTGCTCATGTGGTCATGTGTGACCAGCTGATTTTTCAGCCTTTTGGAGGGCCAGGGGAGGCTGTTTTCACCAACGGCAAACTGGAAGTTTGTTCCTGAACTTCTGGTTGGGCTATTTTTTGCCCTTCCCAGGCTTCAGGTGAGCAAAAATTCCCCCCCGCAGGGGGCGCATGCACGCATGCGCAAGGGAGTCACGCACACATGCACAGATGGGTGGTGGTTGTGCACGTATGCACAGGTGGGTGGGTTAGCCATCACTGCTATAGATTGAAAAGGATGTTTAGTACACAAATACTGAGGCTTACTAGAAAATATCTTACAGTATTAGTTTCTTTTCTAATTAAAAAAAGGATTCCTGGTTTTAAAAAAGTCTTCTGAATTTGCATATTTGTTATTTTTCTGATAAGATAAATAAGATGGCTGGGGAATTCTGTATGGTGAAGTCCACTCATTTTAAAGTTGTTAAGGTTGTGAAACACTGGGCTAATATTTTACACATTCTGGTAATAGATGTGCCCAATTGTATACAACTCACAGATTCCCCCCCACACACACACACACACTTTAGGACTCAATCAGAAGCAAAGTATCGCATCTAATCTCCCAGTATTCATCTGCCGAGGTGGCGCAGTGGTTAGGGTGCAGTACTGCAGGCCACTTCAGCTGACTGTTATCTGCAGTTCGGCGGTTCAAATCTCACCGGCTTAAGGTTGACTCAGCCTTCCATCCTTCCGAGGTGGGTGAAATGAGGACCCGGATTGTTGTTGGGGGCGATATGCTGTCTCTGTAAACCGCTTAGAGAGGGCTGAAAGCCCTATGAAGCGGTATATAAGTCTAACTGCTATTGCTATTGCTTTACTTAAAAGAATCACAGTTCAAGTAATAACATTTATGAAAAATGAAATCAGTGCCTGCAAATGTTAACATGAATACGTTGATACTAACATGAATATATTGGTAACTATCAGTGATAGCTGCAGTCATTTTTGAGTATACTGTGTTAAAACAGAAATCTTTCAAATGTTTTTCTCTCTAAAAGAAACTAACTTTATTTTTTTGCTCTAGGCCTGTGACTGCAGCGTAGCTGGATCCCTCAGCTTCCAGTGTAACCCTGATACTGGCTGCTGTTTCTGTCGTCCAGAATTCTCTGGCGATAAATGCAGTGAATGCCGACTAGGCTATCGGAATTACCCACAATGCATTGCCTGTGAATGCCTGGTAGCGGGGACCCAACCACAGACTTGCGATTCTGAAATGGAAAAGTGCTCTTGTGCTGAACATACAGGACAGTGCACATGTAAAGTAAGAAGATGTGGTTTTCAGTCTCTTATATGTATTTCTGTTTTTAACCTGTCTCCTTGTAGTCCCTTCTCTTTAGATCAATCAGCAGCTTAAACTAAGTTAAAGTGTGCTTTTGTTAGCACTCAAAACATAGAATGTAAGTGTCATTTATTCCAGTAATTCTTAAATCCAAGGAAGTGGCAGCACTTAGCCAATCCTTGCTGATCTTGGGCAGGGCGGGGGAAGGCAGAGGATAGCTGGATCTAGTTAATATTTGGAAGGGAGACCACTGGAATTTCCCTGGGGTTTAGAGTAGCATGCTGAGAAACCAGTCAACAGAAAACCATTTAACGATCACTGCCAAAGGAAACCATGTGGAAAGCTCTGTGGAGTTACCAGATAATCAAGGTTGGCTCATAGAGGATTTTATCATAACATTATAGTTCAGCCTTCCCCAGTGTGGTGCTGTCCACACTTCCATTCAGGAGCAAAACAGCTGTTACTTCCCCCTGTTGGCTGTGCTCAAGTTCTGTTGAATTGATATGCCATCTTAGGGAAGTAAAGCAAAGCAACCTTTCAGCAACTTTCAAAAAATAGTCTTCTCATGCATTGAAAAGCATTCTCCTTCTATGTAGCCTGGTGCTAATGGTTATAATAAGCTACTCTGGAGTTTAGCCATTGTGAACTCCATTTCACATTAAGGCTCAGTTCAGAACCCAGGTCTCTTGCTTCTCAGTTTCCCCAGATCAGTTTAAGAAAAACAGTCTGAATTTTTTTTTTAATTGGGAATAATGACTGAAATATAAAAAAGAAATTCAGTATTTAATATTACATATAATTATGGCAGCAAGGATTGCCTTTGCCCAGAAATGGAAAAACAAATTAATTCCAAGTGAAGATGAAATAATAAGAAAGGTTATGGACTGTCCTGAAATGGACAAATTAACCAAAAAAATCCAGGGAAAAGAAGAAACAGAATACTACCAGATATGGGATAAATGGTATAGGTGGATGGAGGAAAGAAACAAGGATCAATGAAGGAAAAACAACAGAGCCCAAAAATAGTAGTTAAGGAGAATTCTCTCTCTCTCTCTCTCTCTCTCTCTCTCTCTCTCTCTCACACACACACACACACACACACACACACACACACACACACAATAGTCAATATAGCAGACAGAGGAGTAAGATAAGAGGCTTAAGAATGGTGAAATACAAATGAAATATAATAGAAGGGGAAACAATATATGGTGAGCGATATCGATTGGCAATTGCTATTAAAAAGAACAGGAAGCTCCTGTTCATATAGTATTGTGTAAATGTGGTGTACGTCTTAGTTTTGTGTGTGTGTACTTTGCATGTTTGTAAATAAAATTTAAAAGGAAAAAAACCAGAGGTAGGTAAAGAGTGTTTTAAAAATGATAGGATCTTGAATGTGGTAGCTACTGAGCTTTATTCTGCAAAAGGCATCTTATTATCACGTATCTTCATCCTATTAGTGTAATTTTAGACTCTTATTTGATAAGCTAGGCTCCAAATTAGAATGTAAAAGAGAATGATGATTGTTTCTAAAGTTTTCTCTTCTTCTTTTTTTGTGAACAGATTAATGTGGAAGGCGTCAACTGTGACAGGTGCAAACCTGGCCGATTTGGACTCTCTGCCAGAAACCCACTTGGCTGCAACAGCTGCTACTGCTTTGGCCTGACATCAGAATGCAGTGAGGCAAAGGGACTTGTCCGTGTGTGGGTGAGTACATGACTGCTGAGCCATGTAATGTGATCATGTTGTTTCCTGCTGATATCTTTTAGTCAGACACAGAGATGAAGATAGGACATATAGAAAAGCATTTAAGCAATTTCTCCCCTGTGTATTTTGAGAACTGGCTAGAAAGCCATGTTCCATTGAGCAATCAGAGTCAAAATGTTCCAAAGAAACCTCAGATTGAATAATAACAATAATAAATGTCAAGCCCTTGAGTAAAGCTATTCAAATCCAGAAAAGGAAGACATAATGAAAGGGATAGCAAATTGTCCCATGTGAAGTTTTACACTCTTGGCCACTCAAATTCTGAAAAATTCATATTTTTTTTCAGTTTTATCTAGAGGACTAGATGAGTTTGCAATCCTGTTAAGAGAACCTGTGTGATTTAAGGCTTGCAATTTCCTTTTAATTTTAAAAACAAATTAGCCATTGAAAAGTATTGTTTTAATATTTTTATTGTCTCTAGAAAACAGATATTTTCCACCAGTTTCTCCTTAAGAGAACTTTTTTATTTTTCTTTAAGAAAAAAAACACAAATATGTCATCATTTGTCAATCATTAAGACATTGAAGTACAATTTTTTTTTGTTGTGTATACCCCTCCCTCCACCCCCCATCCCCCCTCCCCCTACCCCCCCCCGACTTCCCAGAACCCGTACACGGTATGGATTTTTAA